TCCCCGAGACAGCGTAGGCGGAGGGTTCCCAACCAGCTGGTGCGTGGACACCTATGGAGAGACATCAGTATTACCCAGTTGCTGAGAGTCTTCTCATATGCTCTGTCCGCACCCAGAGCGAACACCGGTTCTCGTGCGAGCCCTTGGATAAAGTCATGGCTGAGCATTTGGGCTCATGTAGCCATTGGCGGTCCCACGGAATACATCCCTAATAAGTTTCACCTCACAAGTTACTACATACATCCCAAGTTTCAGACGTGGATCTTTTTAAGACTGAACTCTACACTGGGGTCGCAAGCTGTCCCTGGACATGAAGTGGATCTGAGTCATCTCTCTCAACTCATGGAACATTGGTGATCTTCACATATATATGTCCTGAACATGGCTCAATCAGGATCGATTTCAGTAATAAAATGGTTGCGGGATGCCACATCGATGACAACCCAAGTGAAACGTGAGCTGGTGGATATAAAACCTCGATATTAACCCCAAGGTGGACCTACCATCGGAGTGCCAAGAGTGTTCTGCATTCTAGAAGAAAAAATGACGTAGCATGGGTCTTGAGATTTCAAAAGATGAACTTTGAATCTCCAAGAGTCTCTCGATTCTATATCCTACTCCAAATGCCGAGGACCTATGTATAGCTTTGCACATCACACTGTTGCCTGATCACGAGGTCCTTACGCCAAAAGCCACATGTGGCGGGAAACAAGTCAGGGTTTTCTATACAAAGTAGGGTCTTTTTTGATCCAGATTTGAAATTGGATCCGAAAATTTAGGGATGTCAAATAAGATCAATGGAATTTCAATAGTGGATTGCTTAGTCTTCTATTATAGAGAGGGAAATAGGAGAAAAAGCAAGATCACGGCGATTAGACCGGAGCTCCGGCCACGAGGGCGCAACGGTACTTGGACATACACTGTTCATGAACCATTTCAATCTTAGAACTCGTTTTGGTTCTACTCCAGGGGGGGTTGGGTTATAACAAATGAAACGATAGATCTTTACTAAAAAAATTTCAAGTGTAGATCTTGAACAGTGGTGTATAAGTTTGGTCCAAACTGTCTTCCGTCACTGCCAAGCCCTCTCACTCCCCCCCGTTCGAGCCATCCCCTCTCCTCTCTTTCACTTTTCACCCGTTGACTGTCGACTATTGTTTGCCAATTTTTCTTTTCCAGGCAAACGAAACATCCAGACCCTGACCCCTTTGGACCAATCTGCCAACCTGTCCCTTCCAGAGCCGGAGTGACACGCTTGACATCTTGGACCGCGACACGGAGAGAGAGGGCTGTGTGTGCTTGGCAGTCTAATACTCTGTGATTATCCTTTGCATCGATTTCTAATAGACGATTACGATCCATTCCATCCCACTTAAAACTGCGACCGTCGCATCACCGCTACCATGTCTAAAGTTGTGCGGAGCGTGAAGAACGTCACAAAAGGATACTCCTCAGTGCAGGTGAAGGTCCGAAATGGTATGAGCCGATTCCAGTACATCAAACTTCTGGGTGATTATCGAGTTGTGGTCGCAGGTGCAGGACTGCTGTTGCCACATCTTGCCGCCCCTGTCGTTTTCCCGGGGGGGGGGGGAGAAGGGGTCGCTTGCTGCATTGCGCCCATGCACCCTGCATACATTGTGATCAAACTGCTAACTTACATTTTCAGCCACCAGTAATGATCCATGGGGCCCTACAGGCACTGAAATGTCCGAGATTGCCGCCATGACTTTCGGGAGGTGAGTTGAGGCCGCGACCGACCCTGTGGGCACCGCTAATACCATTTGCATAATAGTCCGAATGAGTTCTATGAGATCATGGATATGCTTGACAAGCGACTCAACGATAAGGGCAAGAACTGGCGCCATGTGCTGAAGTCCCTGAAGGTCCTGGACTACTGTCTCCACGAAGGCTCGGAGTTGGTGGTAACGTGGGCCCGGAAAAATGTCTATATTATCAAGACTTTGCGCGAGTTTACATACGTGGACGAGGAAAGCAGGGATGTTGGCCAGAACGGTAAGTGTGTTTGGTTGAAAATCATGAGGGGTTGCAAAATTGACCGGGTGGTGTTCTGTAGTTCGCGTGGCAGCAAAGGAATTGACTGCATTGGTACTGGATGAAGATCGTTTGCGCAGTGAACGATCAGATCGCAAACTGTGGAAGACTCGCGTCAGCGGAATCGATGAAGGCTACGGAAACTCCCCCGTGGAACCATCGCGCAGAGACCGACGCCGACGTCACGGGGAGGACGACTCCGACACCGAATACCGCTTAGCTATTGAAGCCAGCAAGGCCGAGGCCGAGGATGAGCGTAGGCGACGGGCCAAGGAGAAAATGGTAACCCAGGATGACGAGGATCTTGCCAAGGCAATTAAGCTTAGCAGGGAGGAGGAGGACCTCCGAAAGCGCGAATTGGAAGAGAGCAACGCCCATGCTCTCTTCGATGACACCCCAGCTCAAGTCCAGCTGACTGGTTACAACCAGGGCTACCAACAGCAAGGTGCGGTGGACTGGTTCGGCAACCCGATCAATGCGCAGCAGCCTATGACCACAGGCTACCTGAACAACCAGTACGCGCAGACGACAGGATTCCAGAACCAGCACACCGGCATGAACAACCCTTATGCCAACGGCTATCAGGCGCAGCCCTCGGCATTTGATCAGAACCCTTACGGCCAGCAACAGACCAACCTTTTGCAACCCCAGGCCACTCTCCAACCCCAGCAGACCGTTTACAACCCCAACAACCTTTATGGGGCAGACGTCTTCTCGCAGCAGCCGCAACAACCCCGGGAGAATTATCAGACCGCAGGGAGCAACAACCCATGGGCCGGGAACCAGCCTCAGCAGCAACTGCAGCCTGCTGACGCCCTCAAGCCCATGCCGACAGGATCAAACAATCCATTCGCTCAGCGTGCTCAAACGCAATTCAACAACCCTGCACAAACAGGCCCGTCAACACTCAATTCCTTATCGGAGGACCGTGCCACAAATCATTTTGCCCAGAACAATGCGCAGTATGGCCAAAGCTCGCTGTTCGCCCAACCCACTCAGCCCAACCCGATCGCCAGCTTCCAGGCCCCACAACCACCAAAGAGTACCCCACCTCAGGACCCTCACCATGCTCGTCTCAACGCCCTTCTCGCGTCAGGCGAAGGCCAGGATACCTTCGGCAACGTTGGAGACCTCAGAATCCCCGCACAGCATACAACACCTGGCACCTTTGTCAATTCTGCCGGTCAGGGTTTGACCCGCCTACATGCGACTCCCACCGGAAACCCATTTTTCGGCCAACAATTCACAGGCATGCCGCAGCAGACCGGATATCTGCAGCAACAGCAACAGCCCGCTAACAACAACCCTTGGGGAAGTCAGCAGCAGCAACAGCGTGGTGGCGGTAGCCTGATTGATCTTTAGTCACTGTTTCGTGGGGCTCTACTTTATTGATTCATTCCTGACTTCGCTAAGGCCACTCACGCGGATACCACTTGTCTCATCTATTTCCTTTCTGTTTCTCGTTTAGTCATTTGGGGCTTGGTCGTCTGGTTTTCATCTGGTCTCATCGTTCTTGCTTTCTTCATTTCTATCCCTATCGCTAATCGATACTCACCACAATCTTCCCACATCTATGAATTGTTGGTTTGTTGAAGCCATGGAGGGAAAGGCTAAAAACTTCAGGTCTCATTTCCTTCATGGCCTCGATAGCCTACTTTTTTTTGATGTTTGACCTGAGTCCTTCATCCTGTCTTGCCTTCTCTCCTCAGGACACCTTTTTTTTGTTTTTGTCATTGTCTGCCCATTAGGATATCCTTCTCATTTCAACCCACTTTCTTGACATCTTACTAGACGTCCTCATACTACTTCGTTAAAGTCCAAGTGTGGTTAGCAGTCTAGTCAAATTGATTGAGTCTTAGCTGAGGTGTTTAAGTATCTGTGATCAACAGCATTCTCATGCGTTCTCTTATTGTGACTGTGTTTTGCACTTTTCTTCTTCTCGAAGTTTTTAGATCCCAAGGCCAAAGCCAAAAGCTAAGAGCCCACCTAGTTACCACGCCAAATCATAATACCGTAGGGATCGCGATCAGCCTCACTGACAGACACCTCAACATCGCCCTGATCCTTGTAAAGGTCCCGAGCCTGATACACAGCCGCCGATGGAACCCCATCAAACTTCTTAAGATCATCAATAGTCTTCGCAGAATCCTGGAAGGCCTCATCCCACTGCTGTTTTACCTCGGCCATCAATTTAGGCTGCATCGCCGAACGCAGATATCCACGCTCCGAGTTAGTATGCGAGAGCGAGATAACAACAGACCCACGCTCCGTCGCCGCCAAAGCCTCATGGTGGCTCATTTCACCAGTCAGCAGGAGATCAGGGAGCGCGCCGTCACCCTTGAGGAGCACTCCCGAGCCCGAACCGGGACACATGCCTACCGTGCGGATAGAGATATCATCAACGGATTGGCCTTGCGGGATGGCGATGGGGATACCGCCAGGCAGGCCGATTCCGGAAGCGATGTTATCAATCAAGGAAGTGAGGGGCTGTTTGTCCTTGAACGTCACCAGACGACCGGCACCGGCTGATTCGAACCCTTCTGGGATTGAAGCTGGCGGGGATGGGTGGATTGTGGTCCTGGTGTGCGCTGGTCCTTGTGAGGAGGTCTGGGCTTGCACCGCGGAGGTTGGTGCTTCGGGGTAGCTTGGGGCAGAGTACATGCTTGATTTGCAGGGTCCAATGGTGGCTTTGGTGGTTTGTTGTATCGGTTTGAAGCTTCCAGTCACTACGTCGCAGAGCCAGTCGGCCATGCCCCCGGGGACGGTGTCGACTGCTGTGTGCGGGGAGTAGACGCTGATTCCATGTTGTGCGAGGCGGAGTAGAGATCTTTGTTGGGAGTCGGCGAAGGTGAGGGATTTTAAGCCGCGGAAGATGATCGGGTCTGTGTGAATTGAGTTGCGTTAGGGCCTTGGGTTCCAAAATATTCGTTGAAGCTCGCGGGGTGTCCCTTTGCAAGTATCCTGGATCCTTGGATGGCTTACGGTATGCGACAACAATTGAGTTGCGGTTTTTGATGGCTTCGTCGGCAACGGCCGTAGTAAGGTCAATGGTGAGGAGGACCGAGTTGTTCAGCATCCGGGTGTTATCGAAAGGAGCTTCGAGCAGTACTACAATTGAGCTCGATTAGTACATTGCAGAAGCCAATCAAAAAAGATTTTTCGATTGGATGAAAGCTTACATCCTGTATTATCGAAGCTCTTGTCCGCCAATGCCTCCGGGTATCTGCGTATACGAAGTTAAACGAAGCTTCATATTATGCGGGGAGCTTTGGTGGGGAGTGAATTACAGCTTTCTCATAGAGCTCACCACAACATTAGTGAATGGTGAGCATTCCGAAGATTTCAACGGCGTAGACATGGCAGAGTATCGACGTGTAGCAGCGCGCAGAAAATTCATAGAGAGGCGTCCAACATATTTGAAGATAGAAGAAGAACAACGGACGGAAAATGTGGTTGAGCCACACACGTGCACTCACTAGCCACAGCCGGACCCGGGGGGGGGGGGGGGAGGGGCTGTAAATTTGTAATAAGAGCAACTCGCATACTTCGCGATCACGTCGGGTTTGGCACTTTATCTCTTCTCGTTTTCTCACCCTCCTCTCTTCGACCATACTTGATGTTCTCCCGCACCTCCACCTTAACCGCCCTGAGCAGAAGCTGCCGCTATCTCCTGCGCCCTCACAGCAACATCCAACGGGCTTCATTTTCCCTTACCGCCCGCTCCCACGCCGCCACCAACGCTGCTATGGCTGACATATCTGGAATCACCGCCGATTCGCTGAAGAACAAGTTGACTGAACTGCTACAGGCGCAGCATGTTGAGGTTGAGGATCTATCGGGTATGGACATTGAAATTTAAACTGAAATTGGGAATGACGCGACGACGTCGAAATATTCTCTTGTTTTATTTACCTGTTGATCTCTCGCTGACAATTTGTCTTTTTGGGTGGATTCAGGTGGCTGTGGACAGGCATTCCAGGCTGTGATTGTTTCCCCTCAGTTCGAGAGCAAGACTATGCTTGCGCGACACCGACTCGTCAACTCCGCGCTCAAGGCCGAGATCGCTGCTATTCATGCTTGGACACCCAAGTGCTATACCCCCGAGCAGTGGCAAGCTCTGCAGCAGTAGTTGATCTCCACAAAAGGTGGAGATGTGATGAACCATGGCCCCTTGAGGGATACACTTGGTAGAAATTGAACCAGACCAAAGGTGGGGGGTTCAGACTTGGCTTAGGAACGAAGGATCCGTGATTGATTTCTGGTTTCTCCATGGATTGAACTACATGAATGCCTATTTAATGCTGGCATCAATTTATCAGGCGTTGGCCGGGTTGGAAAGGGTGGAATATTTGTACATTAAAATCCTGCGCCATTAAGTGCCCTACGGAAGGGATCGGAAACAAATGATGTGCCTTGGACCCATGGAATATCTTATTTCTACTATTTGCAAGGATACCACAGCTCTTTTTAGACATGATTTCAACCGAGCACCTTCTCGGCAGCGGAAACTTTCAAGTAATGTTAGTACAAAGCGGATGTGATCGATAGCGGAGAGACCTACCGTTGAGACCGGTGTTGTCAGGCTCGACGAAGGCCTCCTTGACCTTTCCATCTTCGACGAGAAGTACATAGCGCTTGCTACGGTCGTTGCCGAAGATGGCGCTGCTGTCGAAGCTGAGGTCGAGCGCCTTGGTGAACTCGCCGGAGGGGTCACCCAGGAACCGAATCTGTGAAAACCCAATATCAGCGCTATCGCGGTGATGCAAATACACAGGAAACAGTGAGAAGAAACTTACACCGCTCTTGCCGGAGGGATCGAGGGAATCAGCCCAAGCCTTGGTCCTATTTGATAGTTTTGTCAACAAATGTTCCCACGACGCTTCTTCGGTGCAACTCGGCATCGTAGTGCTTACACGAAGGGGTCATTGACAGAGATGACGAAAGCCTGACCAGCCTCCTTGAGCTTGGGGTGGTTGATGAAACCGGGAACGTGGGAGCTCGAGCAGGCGGGGCCTGGAAGAATGTCAGCCCCGAACAGGAGGTTTGGTTTCCTACCAAGGTAGGGTGAGTTCACGCACTGAAGGCAGCGGGAGTGCCAATGATGACAGCCTTATTTTTGATCTCCTTGGCCAAGTTGACCTTGTTACCGGGGGAGTTCTCGACCAACACGTCCAGATTGGGGATGGCGTCGCCCTTTTGCACGTACGCAGGCGCGGTGCTGTGGAAGAGGGATGCTTGCGCGCGAACGCGAGGGATGTTGGTTGCAATACGGCGGGCAAACATGGTGGGTTTAATTGGATTAATGATGGGATTGGGACAAGGGTATCAAAAGAATACAAAGTGGTGAGAGACGTTAGAAGATACTGGGGGAATGCAAGGGCGGTATGTCGAAGGGAGCTTGGGGTATTTTATGGGTTGTATTGCATCATTTATAGGAACTCTGTTTGCACCTCACCATTTCCTTTTCAAGTGTCATGTTGATGCTCTTTGCTTTCTTACTTTCTTACTTTCTTGATTTTCTTTGTATTTTTTTTTTCCATTTTGATCAGTTTCATCTTAATTCGATGCCGATGATTATTGAGTACCGGTACTCGCCCTCGGCCTGTGGATACCAGTACAACCTGCGGAGACTATACCGCAGGTACCGAGAAGCAACCTACACAAGAGCTGTCGCCTATGATAAGCGCTCTCTATTAAGAACAGGGACCAGCCATCTTCGAGTCGGATGATATGAAGTCACATCCTATTCCTCCATGATGCAGTGGATCCTTGCTCGTCACACGGTGGATAACCCCCCTCCCCCCTGCTGAAGGATGCAGTCATCTTCTAGTTTAACAGGAAGTTCGGCGCCAACACCGTTTGAACATTAGACTTGACTGGGGTTCAATTGACAGAAGTGAAGGGGTGCGTTCGTTATGACGATTATGGTGCTACAGTGGGCATTTGGACTTTTTTTTCATCAACCTCTCTACTCGACCTGGCTTTTGGATCATAATGAACCACGTTGCAATGTGTTATGGGGTAATTTTCGAGTGGACACTTGGATCGTAATCTATCTTTTTTTTGAATATTCGGTCGTAAAAGCGGAGTGGTTCTTTCGGATGATAGGTTCACGAAACAATCGAACCTGTTCAAACCTAGAATCCACGGAAGTGAGACAGGCGGAGAATGGCAGGGCTGATCACTTTTAAATGTTATCCATCTACAGTATGAAAAGCGTTGTATTCCGTCATATGTACTGCTGATTCCCGATTGGATTTGTATGCCGAAAAACAAAAAACACTTGAAGCTCTGATCTTTCTTTCCTGTCTCTTTGAATCGACTGGGTCGACGCTAATTCAATGTCTCACCAGTTTCATCAGGTCATTGGGGGAATGCCCCTCCATCTTATGCGCACTGACACGATCCCCTCCATCATGTCTGTCCTGCATCTCGCTATTTTAATAGCGAATAAGATCTGGTTATTGTCAAGCGGAATTTTTTCAATTTTTTCAATTTTTTCAAATTTTTTTTTTGGTCTAAGAACGTGTTTCTGTATAATACCTCACTTGTACCTCAGTAGATGTGTGACCTGGAATTCTGCCCCTCGTTGGTCCCTGAATTCTGGGTTATTCACGATCGACCTCCTTACATGAAGAAATGTCAGTAACTCCCCTCCCCCCCCCCAAAAAAAGGGACGATTTGAATTATACGGTTGGATGAAAAAACCAAAAGAGGTGAAATAACCAAGTAATGCGGAAACAGAGCAAGTCCATCACATGTACCAGACAGTACCTCCACAGTAACTTTGGTACTTGGCTCTACCGCTAAACCCAGTAACTGACCGTACCCCCGTTATTATTTTCATTTTTTTCTCTCTCTTCCCACCCTCCGAACAGGTCTGGCTTTCTTCCCTTGTCCTATTCTTCCTTTTTTGCTTGATCGAACACATCCCGTTATATTTGCAATCGAGGTTATCCGCGTTGGGACAAGACCAGCCAGACCTGCTCGTTCGACCGGTCGCGACCCGTCTAGCCCAGCATGGACGGTGGCCAGACCTCTTCCAATCCCGCCCCCGCTGGGAACTCCAGTGATTTTGTCAGTGACCCCCTAGATTGTTGTGAGATATCTTTACTCTCTTTGGCTAACAAAATGAATAGGTGCGCAAGCTGTACAAGTAAGTGCTTTTCTAACTACTATCGGACTTGTAATCTCTAACAGTGACAGAATGCTGGAGGACCCTACATATGCGTCGATCGTACGCTGGGGTGATGAGGGAGATTCCTTTGTGGTATTGGAGGTAATGCGCCCGTGTCGTTCTGTGGTCAGACAGATTTGGTTTCTTTGGGCTTGGCTAATTCGAATCCCGACAGTGCGAGAAATTTACCAAGACCATCCTACCGAAGCACTTTAAACACAGCAACTTTGCCAGCTTTGTGCGCCAACTGAACAAATACGACTTCCACAAGGTTCGACAAAACAATGAAGAGAATGGCCAGTCGCCATACGGGCAGAATGTAGGCACCTCCCCCCATTTGTAGGTTAATGGGATCGACGGTCTCACATAAATCACGCAGGCATGGGAGTTCAAGCACCCAGAGTTTCGCGCGAACAGCAAAGAATCGCTCGACAATATTCGCAGAAAGGCGCCCGCACCACGAAAACAACCCCAACCCACCGACGAGTCCGCACCCACGCAACAAATTGATCTTCTTAACCAGCAGATTGTGGCGCAACAGCAGCAGATCCAGCACCTATCAGACCGATATGCCCAGCTTACGGTGGATCATCAGCTCATGCTACAAGAAGTGATGCGAGTGCAGAAGACGGTGTTGAATCACGAGAATGTCATTCACCAGGTGATGACCTACTTGCTTTCGGTGGATGCGCGCCAGCGCCGAGACACCAAGGCTGTGACCTTCCAAGCAACCGGTACGACAATGAGCCCTTCGCAGGTTGGTGCAGTGGACGATGAACCCTCATCGCCCCTCCAGCAAGCCTCGAAGCTCCTGAATGACATGAACGCCGAACTACAATTCAATATGAACGGCGTCGACTCGATGAACGATCCTCAAAAGACCGTCGTTTCAACTCCCACCTTGGATCCGAATGCGAATGCCCGAAACGGCTCGCTCCGTTCCGCGACCACCGCACCACCAAATCCCGCACTTGTTTACCCCAAGATGACCGGCGATCTGGAGCAAGTGGTCTATCCCGTGGGGGGCCACAAATGGCATCGATCCCATGTACAGCGAGCATATCAACAATGTTCCGTACCCAATGCCCGCCAAGCAAGAGATAGAGACCTCAGATGCTCGGCGGCAGTTTCCCGACAACCGGAAAAAGAGCACGAATGTGGACCCTGGCTGGGTGCGCAGCCCACATATCCTCTTGGTTGAAGATGACGCCACCTGTCGGCAGATTGGCGGCAAATTCTTGTACTCTTTCTCGTGTGTGATTGACACTGCGGTACGTCATCGGTTTCGTCCGATCAAACCACACACGCTTGCTAATGTTTCCGCTAGTTTGACGGCTTGGAGGCTGTGAACAAAATTCAGGGTGGCTCAAAATACGATCTAATTCTGATGGACATTATCATGCCGAATTTGGACGGTGTATCGGCATGCCACCTCATTCGCCAATTTGACCGCACGCCGATCATCGCCATGACCTCGAACATCCGAAGCGACGACATTCAGCTCTATTTCCAGCATGGTAAGACAAACATCAAAACCTTGATTCAAACGCCTTCCACTTACCCTTCAATAGGAATGGATGATGTTCTTCCGAAGCCATTCACCCGCAAGAGTCTTCTCGATATGCTTGAAAGACATTTGGATCATCTCAAAATTTCGCCACAGAACCCAGGAATGGAGCCAGTACGACCTTCCGCCGCTGCTGTGACCATGGCAGCTGCAACTCAAAGTTCAGCAAACCAGTCGATCAAAGAAGACAGCTCTCCAGGCCAGTCACCCGCTGGATCAATGACTAACTGGCAATCGCCCAACCAATTCCAAAATATGCAGGCTGTTCCCCCGAATATGCCAGCCGTTCAAGGGCCATATGTTACAGCTCCATCGGCCGCCTACGCTGTTGACCAGAATGGTGTCCAGTACCCAGCAGCACCGGTAGGCGTCCCAACTGGGCGCGCTCCTCTTCGTACCCCGCATCGCCGTCAAATCTCCGACATGGGCGGTGCTGCCGATAACCCCAACATGCCTAAACGGCAGCGCATGTACTCCCAACCTCAACCAATGCTTGCCGTGCAAGCTGTGCAAGCTGGCCGACCTGGCTAAACCAACCCCCTCGGCCATCTATCTCTCTTATCTTGTTATACTTCACCTTTCCGCCTGTCCATTGACTCATGATTCCCACTTGTCTATAACGAGGTTCGAATTCGAAATTCCCAATCGTACATTTTTGCTACTCTTTCGCGGACGTCTTGAAGCGCCGCAGTTCTCTCCCACCTGTTACAGGTTCTGGCGTTGGGTTTGATTCAAACTTGGGTGGCGAAATGTGTGCGACTTTACATGCGTCAGCTATATCTACCGTGGGTTCATGCATTTCCAAGGCCGTCGGAGAGTTTGTTTCGTCAGGTACATATTTACAAATATATTATTTATTTACCTCTCTCGCATCCTGGGTGTCCCTGTCCAAGGGACCGGGGGGGGGGGGGGAGGGGGAGGACACTTGGTATCGTTTCAGGGCTCGTCTTGTAAGGGCTGCGTATGAGGACCCCCGGGGCATTTCCTAGGAACTAATGCTCACCACCCGACTCTCAATAGAAATTGACCGCCAACACCGTGAGATCTCCACTGAATCTCACCTGTGCTGGCATCACCCGCATTCCTCTAATTTTCGCGGGCCGGACAGACGAACTGCAGGGGAAGAAATAAGCTGTGAGGTCTAGACCGAATTCCAAAAACATTAAAGTACTTAAGCTGCCCTTTCAAGGCCCAGGAGGGCCCAGACCTTGCGGGGAGCTCTGGGCCTCTTTGGATGTGGCTAGACTTGAGCCGTGCGCCACGGTTGGTGCTTATTTTGTTTGTTTTGTTTGCGTATGGGGCTGTGGAAGTATAGACGAAGTACGGAGTCCGTGGACTACATCTGCCATCTTATCCCTAGTACTTTCTGATGTGTAAGATTGTTCTACATTGTGTAGTTTGGCTTGCCAACTACTAAGGACTGGAGTAGCGACCGAAGTCATCTTTCTCTCCCTAGCCACTGATCATCAGTGGTACTTTCTCCCGATCTTGTCGCCAGACATCTTGCATGTGATGAGTCTTGGGTGAGGGGTAAGGTCCATTGTTGACAGTCACTTGACTGGAAATTGGTATTCACTTCCAACAATTCAGCGGTTCGTAGGGCACAGGGTTTGCGGAACCAACTTCATGATAAAAATCTGAGCCCCGATTATGGATTTGAATGACACTCTGAGCCGAGATTATCACAGAGCCAATATTGACTAGAAAGTACTTTAGTCCGTGCT